ATGTGGAGAATGTGAATGCCAGGACAGGTTGACATGCTGAGAGACACTAACTAATACTGACTGGGGTTGAAGACATGATACATGTATAATGTGAAAGTAACAGCAATTCTCAATTTCCAAATGGAAAGGCATTCTAAGCTAGGTTGCTGCTTGTATTTAATGTTTAGTTATCGGTGGCACAGAGACGATATACCCTGAATAGAGGCAACAGTAACATCCTACACCACAATGCTAATGTGTAGCGTGTTTCAGCCAAGGGCAGAGAGAGCCAGAGATACAACTGAGCTAGCTCCACACCATCACAGCATTTTTTAACAATACAAAATAACTTTCTCCCTCCAAATCCAGAGAAGGCAGGGTGTCATAATGTGACAGGAGGAAACTGAAAATGACGTTGTATTATAAATTAAACTTCTTAAAAAAGGTTTCTACCTTTATTTCAGCCTCTCAAATATATTAGCCTGATGACAGTTACCAAGTCCAAGCTCAAATAACTTTCTAACAAGTAAATATTTGGTGTAAGTAATTGGTTAGTCACTTATATTATTAAAAAGTGATCACTTTAGATTATGATTTATATTAGTTTAAAAAGGGAAGATAATGTGTCTTGTGGCAGACACTTTATCAACAAGAACAACACACAATGGTGTGAAGCTGTATACTTTGCTGATGATAAAAACCTTTAATTTCACTATCCAAAGGTGTAGTGGCCTGCCCGCCACTTCCTCACTTTCACAAACACATTCGGTAACTGAATTAATTGTCCCACTTTAATACAAAAGACCTGGCTGATTCAGGCTGACATTACTAGTAGTTGAGGGGCTTCAGAGGGGGTGCTGAAGCCCAAGAAAAAAAAAACCTCTTCAAAGCAACAGTTTCACTACAACACTAAAGAAACTGTGTAGGCATGTCACAGACTGAGAAATATGACACAGTCCATAATCGCTAAGCATGTAGGTGACATATGTCTCTCTTGCACACTGCCATGTTTCACTAAGAATTCATGCCAGATAATAACAGATAATCTAAGTCCAATATGAAACATTGCATTAATTATGGCATTAAATTGCATACAAAACAAATGTATTTCACCTACAGAATAGTACAACATAATTCTCTATGAGATTTGGCTCCCATCAGGACTGACTGTGGAAAGGATAAACGCAGGGGGAGCGGGACAGACTCCTGGCAGCATCTAGGGAGCTGCAACAGATGGGGTGGTGGCCTCATTCTGGGTTGAGTCTGAACCAGCCCAGTCACCAACCCCCAAGAGAGAGGGCAATCCCTGCTCTGGATGCTACACCAACCAGCAGGGAAATGGATCGACTGAACAGCTTCTCTCTCTCTCTCTCTCTAAGCCTCCCAAGCGTTTTTTCACATCTCACCCCTGACTTGAGAGTACTGAGGAGGACTGTGTAATCTAATGCCTCGGGATGAGAACGTTGAGGATATCATCATCAAGAACAACCAATTCAACAGTTAAAAACACACCCTTGCCACTAGCTTGGAACCATTTTTTCAATCAAGTACTTTGTTCAAAGTATTTATTTTTCAAGTTGTGCAAAACTGGGTGTAGCTCAATTCTGTAAGGGCCAGAAGGAGTGGCTCAAACTTTTGTTGTCATCTGCATGGCCCTGAAGAAATGCTGTGTAGCTACATCGAGCAGGCATAATAAAGCTGACATTCACATAGAAAGAGTCACACAACAAGTCTCCTCTCCCTTCCCCTGTCTACTTCTCTGTTAACCCTTGGAATAGATTAAGCTAAAGTGAGTGTATTGTAATCACAGCTTCTTCCCTGATGACAGTGTGCACAATGCCTCTGTAAGGAAGTAGGCACAGAGCTATTCCATTAACTAATAATGGTTTGACTTTATTACATAATTAACAATATGTTGGAATGATTTACATCCTCTAATTTATTTGTTATAAGATGTTATATAAGGTGATCCAAAATGTCAAAAACGACCATTCTCTACAATAACCAATGTAATGAATAAGATACTGGGACAGTCAGTCCATGGTGTTATTTTATACATAACATGTCAGATGCTGAATAACTATCGATTCTTGATTTTGAACAATTATAGGCAGAGGTGGAAGAGCACTATTAGTAAAAGCTGCAATACTGCAAATGTGTGTCAATGTATACTTTGTATTAACACATGAAGTATGCCAAGTAACTAGTAATTAAATATGTGAAATAAATACAACATTACCCTACAAAATGTAGTGAAGTAAAAAAGTAGCATAATGTAAAAATATTCCTCATTCATTACAGGGTTTACATCACAACTGGCGTAAGTTCAGTAAACATTGAAAAACCTCAATAAATCCATTACATTGGCCATTAACACCAGGCAAATGGGTAATCTGTTTGTCAACTAAATGAGAAGTGTTTGGTTTTATATACAATCTATGGTTTCACTACAGCGGCACTGTTGCAATAAAGCCGGTAACATTAGCTACTGTTAGCCGTTTAGCTAGCCGCAAGCTAATGTTGTTGTCTATCGAACTAACGATAGCTTGGTTAGCTATTTAGCTTAGCTTAGTTAAATTTCAAATCCATGATGGAGAAAACCATTACGGTAACGTTAGTGTCCAATTTCAAATTGGAAGCACTTGGTTTTATATAAACATTTGAAGTAGAAACAAACGGCGAGAGAAGCTAGCTAACAAAGGTATGAGCTCATTCAAAGGCTTTGGCCATGTTGAAGCCCTCCGCCCTGACAGCTCATATTAATGTTTTCGTGCAGCTAACGTTACGCTCCACAGGAACAACGGTTGCTGCATTCAACACAGCAACAAAGATCCCCAACAACTTGTGCGACCGGGAGAAAAGGAACTTACCATCACTGCGCTTTATCTCCACATAAGTACCAACGACGATCTTCCCAAAACACGACGCCATTCTACATTACTTTAAATGATCAGAAACAGGACTAAATACTTATTATGAATCGGGTAAATGCAGCTACTTCTTGTGTTTGGCCGTCTTTGGTCGGGCAGGAAGATGCAGGAGAGGCAACAGAATGAGCTAGCATAGAGTAGCTACCAAGACTAGCAAAGCATTTCCGGTCTGGTATTTTTCAAAATAAAACCAGGTGACATGTGCAATCTTGAATTACATTGCATGAAGAAGAACCAAAAAAAGGGAAGAGTCTAAAAAATAGGGATTGTAAAGCAGGTATAAGTTATGAGGAATATTGCTTGTGTAAGGACAAATAATTCATAAATTGCTGAGAATACTTCCCCATAAGTAAATCATCTGAACAGTTCTTTCAGCACTTTGATTAATTAAACAGACTTAATACCACTTTGGTAGTAAGTGTTGCTCTATTGTAGTGGGTGGCTTGTGCCACCTGGTGGCACCAGGGCCAATGGCTCTCTTTATTTTGTGTGTGTTACTGTACTTCATCATAACCGTACCAGAAATAGGACGAAATTAACAAAACTGTATGGTTTGCAACCTTACCCTGCTTGCTCTGGTAGAAGATCTGGTAGGGTCAACGTGTTTCCACAGTATAAGGTTGATTTCCTGTGTTATAACACACACACACACACACACACACACACACACACACACACACACACACACACACACACACACACACACACACACACACACACACACACACACACACACACACACACACACACACACACACACACACACACACACACACACACACACACACACACACACACACACACACACACACACACACACACACACACACACACTACTACTGACCCCAAATCATTGGGCTCGAGATCATTCTCTTTCTAGAAGCTACCAGGTTCTTCTGTGGTCCTGCAGCTGTCAGCCCCCCCCACCTAACTATCTCCATGCACACACCTCCTTTAAACCCCCTCCTGCCACTTTGGCAACAGGCATTTGCTGGTGACTTCTCAGCTGTCTGTGCCCTAAATAGACCTTATCAGGAGCAGACCACCTTTGAGGGGGGTCCCTCTCACAGATTGTATTGAATGGAAAATATTTGTTATTGATAGAGCCTCGGATATTTAAAAAAACACCAAGAATTTCTTTGCAAACCAAGTCATCATGGTTTATAATGACTTTTGAAACAAAGTTGTTCTTTGAGGTATTAGAGTGCAAGCAGTCGACCCCTATGTGTGATGGATGGTCCACCTTGGTTCTGTCCCACCTCATTGAGATTCAAATATAAATGTGATGTTAGTGGGGGGAAGTTTCATGAGACAAAAAAGTTTGTCACAAAAATTATAGACTAGAGATTCATATCATCTAAGCAGAACAAGAGACACAGCACACAATCCTAAAGGTACTGTACAGCTTGTTTGTTTTTTATTATCTATTTGATTTTGGTATGCAGACAGTACTTGGTATAGGTAGGCAGGAAGATTGTGCCTACATGATTGGAGATAGTGTCTGTCCATTGGGAAAGTGGCATTTGTTCGAAGGCTCCAACTGGGGTACGAGACTGTGCCCAAATAAGGCTTGAGGGGAAGCCATTTAAAGTTAGAGATAACATGTGCATGGCCATTTGCTACGAAAGACCCAGGTCAGCAGGACATTCATTACTAACAATGGTAAGAACAAAAACATTTTTAATGCTACAGCAGTTTCAATAACATTAGTATGCTAACAGACTATTGTCATCTGTGGGATTGATTGTGAAATATGGGGCTGTTTTGTTCTTTTTTTAATGCTCTTTACTTTTTGAAATGTGTAAAACTGCTTATTTGTCGAATTTGTTGCCTATTTGAAATGTTAGTGTTTGCATCAATTATACCTATTTATAATTAATAGGTAAGCTACCCTTAATTGGGGAATTGTTTATATGATTCAAATGTGTTCTCTTGGTATGAATCTTATTATAGTTACAATACCGCATTTACATGTGATTGAGTGGTTTCCTCTCAAATTGTTGTGTTGAAGCATTGACTGTCAGGTTTGATTTACAAAGTTATGTGATCCGTAGAATCTATGTCATAACTGATAACCCCTGATTTTACCAGATGGGAGACCCAATCCAGTTAAAAGATGAGGGAAACAAACACTTCCAGGCAGGAGAAATCGAAAATGCCATTGAGTGCTACACTAAAGCCATTAAGGGATGCAAGGACAAAAAAGTGCTTGCTGTCATCTACAGGAACAGATCTGCATGCTACCTAAAGAAGGTAAGCAGTTTGGCTAAGCAGCATAAAACATAAACACATACCAAATAGATTTCATTTTAAATTATTGGGGAAATTCACACTTTTATTTTGATGTTTCTGTTTTTCTAAAAGGAAAACTATGCTAACGCAGCGTCCGATGCATCTAAAGGTAGAGTAATACGCAAACCAAACAACAGCAAAACAAAACCAATAAACATGAACTTAAACTACACAACACAATCTAATCCGTTCTTCTTCCTATACAGCCATTGATGTGGACGCAGCAGATATTAAAGCCTTGTACCGGCGTTGCCAAGCTCTGGAGAAATTAGGAAAACTTGACATGGCTTTCAAAGATGTGCAGAGATGTGCCACCATCGAACCAAAGAACCAGACATTCCTGGAGACTCTCCGCAGGCTGGGAGCAGAAATCCAGGCCAAGGTCGGCATTATCAAGTTAATGTAGAATGCAACACACAATACTTTGCATAAATGAATTCAGCACTGCTACATGTATTCATGTATGTATAATTTGGACATGTCAGCATTGGAAAAGGTTGAACGTTTAATTTTTGTATTTTTCCACAGCTCAAGACAACATTCTCCACAGATTCAAGAGTGCAGAACATGTTTGATATTCTCCTTGATGAGGAAATGGAAAAGGACAAAAGGGAAAAGGTAGGTATCCTCCCTGTGAACAAATACTTTTATGTAGATGCACATACCGTAGTTGTGGTTTCACTTCTGCTACTTCTTCTTTTATGTATAGGCTGCCAACAATCTGATTGTGCTGTCAAGAGAGGACGCCGGAGCAGAGAGAATCTTCCAGAATAACGGAGTGCCTCTGCTGCTCACCATGATAGAGACGGGCAAACAAGAGATGGTCCTGGCTGCTGTTCGTACTTTGTCAGGAATGTGCACAGGACACAAAGCTCGGGTAAGCTTACTCTAAAAATGATTCAAGACAAAAGCAAATTCAAAGTGAAATATGCCAACAGTGTAGCCTTCAAACTTCAAAAGTACATCTTCAACATACTGTATCTTTTGCCATTTGAAATAAGAATAATTGTATCTGCTATTCAATTCCTTTAACAAAGTGTGTTGTGTATGTCTTACCACTATACAGGCCATGGCCATAATTCAGATGGTGAGCGTCGATAAGATGTGCAGCATTATGGCTGTCGACAATGAGGAGATTGTGCTTGCAACCTGCAACCTCTTCCAGTGCATCAACGACTCCCTCACTGGTGAAGATAAAAAGGATTATGGCAAAGAAGAGGCCTTGGTTCTGGGTGAGACAGAATCAAATCATCCTTATCTGTAACAAAAAGTAGATTTTATTATAAAGATATCCTCAAAGCTTAATTAAAAAATCAATGGTAGAATGTAAAAAATCAAAATGGCTTGGTCTCTGCTGCTGCTGTTAGTATTCTCTTAGCAATTCTGACTGAGACTTTCTTTTATATCTGCAGATGCATCCAAAGACTTGAAAAACATTCTCCTCGCTCTGGTGGAGATGGTTGGTAGTAAGAAGGTTTCTGGCCATGGCAGAGACCAGGCACTGAATCTCCTGAGCAAGAATGTACCTCGCACTGTAAAGAAATCCAAAGACAACTCCAAGGCCCTCTTCACTATTGATCACGGTGAGCCACACAGCTACATCAGTCACTAAATAGTTTGAGCTACAATCTTTTGCTGCATCCCAGACTCCTGGATAAAGTGTATTTAACATATGTCTATATCATATATATATATATGGGTTTGTTCTCCAGGTCTGAAGAAGATCCTCAAGGTGTGTGGTCAGGTTTCTGAACTGCCCGACCAGCTGCCCATGACGGAGAACACACAGCTGATCGCCAGCGTGCTGCTCACCAGGCTCTACGACGAGCTCTCATGTGACCCTGAGAGAGACAACTTCAGGGAGATTTGCAATGAATATATCAAGTACGACCATAACATAGAGAGTAACCAGTGTTGTAGCTAATCATTTGTAAATAACCAAGCCAACATAACTCACACCATCTCTGCGTCTGTCTTCCTTTTTCCCCAGTTCCAAAATTGATCCCAACGACATGGACAGGACAATCCATGCTATCAACGTCATCTCAGGCCTGCTTCAGGGTCCCTTTGATGTCGGTAACGCCCTTGTTGGACGACAAGGTATAATGGAGATGATGGTGGCACTGTGTGCCTCTGAACGTGAGGTGGACCAGATGGTTGCTGTGGAGGCGCTGATCCACTCCGCCTCCAAGATGAGCCGTGCTTCCTTCATCATCACCAACGGCGTGTCCCTTCTCAAGGACCTCTACAAGAAGACCAAGAATGAGAAGATTAAAATCCGTTCTCTGGTGGTGAGTGTGCCCTGGGATAGAGAAAAACACTTTATTTTTCCTTTCTTCTTTTCTAAAAGCACAAGCATCAAGACATCACAGTATAAACAATACTAGACAGTAACGTAGGGAGCAGCTAAAGTTTATTTATTTAGTCTTTATTTTCATTAGTCTCATTGAGATTAAGATCACTTTTCCAAGAGAGAACTGGAACACTAAACATTCACACGGACACAAACAATAAACAAGTAAAACCCAACAACACAAACACAAGGGGAAAAACTGTACAGGACACATGCGAAACCTCAGGAAATGGAGCCTGGAAGACCATAGTTTGAGGATACATGGAGGATATCTGTAGTATCTAAATATCTTTGAAAAATCTATCAAAGATGTGGCTCATGTACTTGCAGGATTACATTTTTATGAATGAATATTCTCTTGGTTGATTGCACCTATTGTAAGTAGCTTTTGATAAAAGCAACAGCTAAATAAAAAAAACGTGTAAGGTACAGTAGTTAATACTTCTATATTTAAATGAGAAAAAGAGATGTGAGGTCATTTGAAAGCTTTAACAGAAGGGCTTTGTAAGATGTAACTCTAAACTATTGATTAAAGGACAGAAGTCCTAGATAGATAACATAAACACTTTAATTAGACTTTGTCTGTTTGGCGTTTTGGTGCATACTCATGTCCATGTCCCCTCAGGGTCTGTGTAAACTGGGTTCAGCTGGAGGAGATGACTACAGTTTAAGGCAGTTTGCTGAGGGCTCCACAGAGAAACTGGCCAAGCAGTGCAGAAAGTGAGTACTCAAACACACTGTTAAAGTGACTGGGCTGTTGATGATGATGAAATTAATATTAGACTTTTACAAATAAATGCCAAATTCCTAAAGATCACATTTTCATGGCTATACATTCTTATAATATGTATATATCAGAAAGTAATTCAAGCTTGCAATCCACTTAACATACTCACAAAATAAACCAACTAAATTGTCTTTTTTCTTTTACTTTTCTAGGTGGCTCTGTAATCCCAAGATTGATACCAAAACAAGAAAGTGGGCTATCGAGGGTCTAGCTTATCTGACCAATGATGCTGACGTGAAAGATGACTTTGTTGAGGACGAGATTGCGCTGAAGGCCATGTTTGACCTGTCAAAGGTAAACAAATTGAAAAAAAAGACAGAAAAACAAATACAGTATATCAGATTACAGATAAATAACCTCTCTCCATTCACTGTGTTTTTAGTCTACAGACAAGACAATCATCTATTCAGTAGCTTGCACCCTGGTTAACTGCACCAACTGCTATGACAAGAAGGATATCCTACCTGAGCTGGTTCAACTAGCAAAGTTCTCAAAGCAACATGTGCCGGAGCAACACCCCAAGGTAAAAGAGGGAGAAAAGTCAACTAAACCATTGTCTTACACAGAAGATCAGAACATATAATTTGACATATGTAGAGCAGGTTATGAAACACATATGAATACAGATATACACACTTTGCATACTTTTTGTTCCCAGGACAAGAAGGACTTTATTGATCAGAGAGTGAAAAGGCTCCTGAAGGCTGGCATCACTTCAGCTCTTGCTGTCATGGTAAAGGCAGACAACTCCATCCTGACCGACCAGACCAAGGAGATGCTGTCAAGGTGTGTGTGTGTGGTGTGGTGTGTGTGTGTGTGTGTGTGTGTGTGTGTGTGTGTGTGTGTGGTGTGTGTGTGTGTGTGTGTGTGTGTGTGTGTGTGTGGTGTGTGTGTGTGTGTGTGTGTGGTGTGTGTGTGTGTGGTGTGTGTGTGTGTGTGTGTGTGTGTGTGTGTGTGTGTGTGTGTGTGGTGTGTGTGTGTGTGTGTGTGTGTGTGTGTGTGTGTGTGGCTTTTATTGGTCAATCCTGTTTTCATCAGTTGAATCACATACAGAAAGGGACTTCGGTTTATTCCTAAATGGGCTATTGCAGAGATAAGTGTAAGGCAAGGCAAGTTTATTTATATAGCACTTTTCAACACAAGCCAATTCAAATTGCTTTACAAAAATGAAAGACATTAAGAGCATAAAACACATTAGAAACATTAAAAAGCAAAGATAATAAAACATGAATAATACAGGTACATAATAAAAGTTACAGTGCAGTGTAAGATGTGAATAGTTCAATTAAAAGCAGCGGCAAAAAGAAAGTAGTAAGTAGTAAGAGTTGCAGCGGACCTGCAGATTTCTGGTAGTTTGTTCCAGATTTTTGCAAGACCCCTTAGCAAATGCTCACATTCCACTACCCCTAGTCTTCCCGTGTAATTATAGTTATTTTGACAGTTTTCTAACCTTTTTATATTCCTTTTATCCTACTCTTTCAATCATTTTGCATCCCCAGACAACGTATTTCCCCCTGTTTTACTGTTACCCAAACCCATCTTTGACCTTTAAAACCACTTTTCTTTTCAATTTCCAGAATTAGGATATTTAAACCTGTTTTTAAGACTTCCCTCATGAATCTTTGGCTTGCAAGCGAAAGCACTGTTAACATCCATCTTGATGCCTCCATAAATGGATATATTGTAATAAATGATAACTAAGCCAATTCTATATATTTGTTCGTCCTTAGAGTTTTCTTGGCTTTGACAGATGATCCCAAAGATCGTGGTACTATTGTAGCCCAAGGTGGTGGAAAGGTGAGTCATAGGTTTATCAATTGAAACCATGAAATAATTTATTTTTGCATGTTTTGAGAATTGATCAACTTGCTTGTTGCAAAACATCCCACTGTTGTTCACCTCTTACTCTATCCATAGGCTTTGATACCACTTGCTCTGGAAGGGACAGAGGCTGGGAAGACAAAGGCCAGCCACGCCATTGCCAGGATTGCAGCTATTTCCAACCCAGAACTTGCTTTCCCTGGTGAGAGGGTAAGAACAACATTTATTTGTTTGTCCCCTATGATATAATAGTGAAGGAAAGGGAACAACAATTTGAGATAACATTTTATATTGTCTCCCCTGGACTACACACTTCTTACACTTTTGACATTGTATGATTCTTTGCCTCTCCAATTAATGGGATATTGAACCTTGCTGTTGGTGGTATATTTGATTATAACTAATGACAGTTGTTTGTTCTAACTTTCAGTATGTAACGTAGTTCAACAACGTAGATTAACTTTTTTTAAATGAATCCTACATCTTTCTTGTTTGTCAGGTGTATGAGGTGGTGCGGCCTTTAGTCGGCCTCCTTCACACAGACAAAGACGGGATGCAGAACTATGAAGCTTTGCGAAGCCTCACCAACTTGGCTGGTTTCAGTGAAAAACTAAGGTAACATGTTATTATGTTCACTGTGATGTCACTAGCTCCTTTCCTACAAGTGCATTTCCTACAGCTTGAACAATTTGTGTTATTGTGACCTTTAACCTTGACTTTATCTGTTTTATAGAGTGAAGATTATAAAAGAGAAAGCTATCAGTGACATTGAAAACTACATGTTTGAAGATCATGACCAGATCAGACAGGCTGCTACTGAATGCATGTGCAACCTAATTTCATGTAAAGAGGTGAGAACGGAAAAAATAGCTAAACACCTTTCATTGTAAAATAGCTGCATCAACGTAGGAAACCAGTTTCCAACAGGTGTCGAACTTTTGTTTCTTAGGTCCAAGAGCGTTTTGTGTCCGATGGCAATGATAGACTGAAGCTGCTGGTACTGCTTTGTGGCGAGGATGACGAGAATCTTCAGATCGCTGCAGCTGGAGCTCTCGCCATGCTCACTGCTGCTCAGAAGAAGACCTGCAACAAAATAACCCTTGTGGTATGTATGATAGCATTCAGTAGTGCTTTAACTTGTAGGATAAAGAAAAGTATAACTTCAATTTCACATGTTGTGTCATCATCGTGACCAAGCTAAGACAAAGCTGATGACATCATCTCTGGGATATTACAAAACTTCTCAAAATGCAGAGTTTACTCCCTGATGGTGTATCTGAAGTGTCAATCAGGGGAAATCCCCTCAACGGAAAATAACATTTGCATTTGAGTCATACCACACTATCTTACACATAAATCCATTGCTAAGAATTACACAAAATATATCATATCCAAACTACCAAGAATACAAAATAAACAACATTTTTGACAAAGATTTCGCATAATTTACAAGTGTAACTGATTGCTCTCTCCTCACAGACCACGCAGTGGCTTGAGATCCTGCAGAGGTTGTGTCTCCACACCAACCCCAATGTACAGCATCGTGCCCTTGTTATTGTCTACAACATGCTCGACTCAGACAACAGTGAGCTGGCCAAGAAGCTGATGGAGTGTGAGCTGTTGGAAATCTTGTCAGTGATTGGCAAGGCAGAGAACAATCCCAAGAGGCAGCAGGCCATCGATGCGGCGCGCACATGCCTGGTCAAAGCTATGGATCTTGGTCTCATCAAACCGTTCGCGACCCCCTCTTAAAATGCTTTCTACGAGGAAAAAACCCAACAGTGGACATTCTTCTTTATTTCCTTTAAATACAGACTTGTTTCCAAATGGTTTTCTCATTGAAGAAAAAAAAGAATTCTCCAACCTGGCTCTAAAGATAATGTCTCACAATATAAATCACTGTTTTTATTTGTAATTTTTTACAGAGGGTGTTTGTTGCGTAGGTAGTAGAAAATGCACACATGGTGATTTCCCCTGACCATGCATTTTTTTGTCTTTATTTGAAGATTTTAGAAATGTATTATTTCTATTTATGTTGAACTGTAACTGTGAATGAATGATTAAATACTGAGCAGTTCACGTTTTTGCTTCACTGTTTGCTAAAATATACACTTTAAATAATCAAGCGAGAGCCAGGGTTGCTATGTGTTTTTTTGGAATGTTGTAGCATCATGAAGGAAATAATTTATTTCCAGTGGCAACAACAATGGGATGCAGACAGCATAGGAAGTCAATTCTACAACATTCAACCGTCAATTAAATCAGGCGGCAGAGTTTAAACTAAAGGATGACATCAAATTACCAAGAGTATAGCTGGGTCATTATCGACTGGCAAGCAGTTTTTGCTTTGGGAAAACACAAAGATGGCAAATGTGTACACTGTGGAATACTGGACACTGTTCAGTCCTGATAAACTCGCTATTTTATCACCAAACGCTGTGTGGTGGTTGACCGCAACAATCCTGACAAAGCCTGCATATACCATCAGTGGAGGATGATTCATGTGGATTAATATGTTTGGACCGGAGGGTGAGGGTGAGGGTGACAAACTTAAGTTTCACTTTACTTTTTAATTTCAATTCCAAACTTGCTTGGTCATAAAGAATATATGTTTCTCTGTTGTCCACGTTCAAGAAGCATAAAACAACACCATAAGAGCACGGTGCAAAGTTTTCTATGCGTTTACATATGGCAAGCCAATTTAATGGCAAGCCGATTTAGCTTTTATTCATTTCTGGAGGATATCAAAAAATAAATTCTTACTAATAAGAACGCAAATTCAATTCTTACTGTTACAATTGTTATAATCCAATTTTTATTCATAACTAGTAACCATAGAATTCCTGATATCAAAAAAGGATTTTGAATTAGTTCAAATTGTATTTCCTGATATCAACAATTGGCATTTCGACTAGTTGAAATTGAATTCTTGATATCAGAAATTGGTATTTTTACTAGTTCAAATGTAATTGTAACTCGTAACAATCATAAATTGGCATTTGAACTAGTTCTTATTATGCATCCATGTAGTTCGCTGTATAAAAAAACTGTAGTTTCCCCACAACAGACGCACATTTATGACGTCCGCTGCTGGCCCATCATTAATGCGTCCGATAGTGAAAGTGCAGTCGGATTCTCTAAAGTACCGCAGTCTCTTCTCCTAAATCCTTTTGAATTCTCCTATCCACTATCCCTTAACCCCGTGACGTTTCACTCAGAGGTCAAGGAATAGACGATAGGGTTAGACGTTAGGAGCTGATTTTTGGATTATCCGACCGCAACCCTGCAGTGTCTTTTCCTAGAGCGAAATAATGCATTTAGAGAATTAAAGAAAAACATGACACAAAATAATGTTATAGAGTTTCAAAGGAAAAGGGCAGCTGCTCGAAGGACAATAAAATATACAAAAAAGAGAACATGGAGAGAATTTTGTTCTACCATCGGCAGAGGAGTAAAATTAGGTGATGTCTGGTCCATGTTTAAGCGGATGAGTGGGAAAAGGAAATCCATTAAAATTCCAGCTTTGGTTGATGGGGAGAGGCTGGCAGTGACAGATAAAGAGAAGGCAGATATGTTAGGAAGGACACTTGCAGCAGTACATAGTGGGGAACATCTCAGTGATATTCATAGACAGCAAAAACAGCAGTTACTAGCAGAGAATGAAAACGTGAAGGAGAAGAGACAGGATGATAGGTCAGCTCTTGATGTGGAATTTACAATGTCAGAACTCAAAATAGCCTTACAGCACTAAGGCCTGTCCTGGGGCTGTATACAGGATATACAGCCCCAGGACAAGACCAGCTATGCTATGCTATGTTTAGACAGTTACCTATGGAAACTATGACAATGGTGCTGAGTCTTTTCAATCAAATCTGGAGAGAAGGAGATATGCCAAGTTTGTGGAAAACAGCAGTCGTGCTACCATTCAATAAGCCAGGGAAAGATACAGCTAACCCTAGTAACTACAGACCAATAGCTCTTACATCAAACCTATGTAAATGGATGGAAAAGATCATTGTCCGTAGGCTCTCACATGTACTGGAACAGAAAGGGCTGCTGAGTAGTTTTCAGAGCGGATTTCGTAAAGGGCGGTCCACAATAGATGCTTTAGTAAGAGTGAGTAATGATGTGGAAAAAACATTGAAAATGAAAGAGATAATGGCAATAGTGTACTTTGACATTGAAAAGGCGTATGACTCTATGTGGAGGGATGGGTTACTGATCAAATTGAGTAGAATGGGTATTGGAGGGAGAATGTACAATTGGGTAAGGGCCTTTTTAACAGACAGGACATTTAGAGTAAAGGTTGGAGCAGATATTTCCAACTATTTTGAAATAGAAAATGGTATTCCCCAAGGGAGTGCAGTCAGTCCAATATTATTTAACATCATGATCAATGATATATTTACATGCTTAGACACATGCATCCAATCGGCTCTATACACAGATGATGGGGCTATTTGGATGAGGGGAAGAAATGCCCCATACGTAATGGAGAATATAGCTAGAGCGATTAAAAAAGTGGGGAGGTGATCATATAACTGGGGATTCAAAATGTCAGAAAGCAAGTCATGCTACATGGTATTTACAAACAAACGCAAGATTGATGGCCAACAGCTAACACTATATGATCGTCCAATGACAAAGGTGAATGAGTTCAAATACCTAGGACTGTGGTCTGATAGCAAATATACATGGAAAATGCATATTAATCAAGTGGAAACAAAATGCAAAAAAGTATTAAATTTATAGCGAGCTGTAGCTGGATGCAACTGGGGCGCAGACAAACAAGCATTAATAGACATTTACAGATCAATTATGAGGTCCACAATAGACTATGGTTGTATAGTGTATGGAGCAGCAGCAAAAACATCGCTTTTAAAAATGAATAGAATACAATATAAAGCATTGCGGCTGCGTATTGGAGCGATAAAGTCATCCCCTATCAATGCAGTTCTGATAGAAGCAGGAGAGACACCTCTGGAGATCAGAAGAGAGAAACTTGCTCTGTCATACTGGGTCAGGGTACAAGGAAGTGGAGAAGAAAATATTACAAACAGAATATTACAGGATTGCTGGGAATATGCAAAATTCCAGGGACGTGGGTTTGGCTGGACGAGTAAGGAAAGAACGAGGGCATATGGAGTGGAGACTATCACGTTTGCCAAAGCAACCCCATTTAGTAGTGTTCCCCCATGGCTTTTCCCAGAAGCTAAAATAGATATGAGTATTGTAGAAAGGAAAAAAGAGTGGCAAATAAATGAAGTGGGAATTAAAACAAGTATGTATCTGAACGAAAAGTGCTACAATTACCTAAAAATGTACACAGATGGTTCTAAGAACAAGGAAGAGTGTGTTGGAGTTGGTATATACATCCCAGACTTTAAAATATCTATTTCAAAAAGAGCGTCTGATCAATTATCAGTGTACACAGCAGAAATGCTTGCTGTAATAATAGGACTACAGTGGGTTGAAGAGGTCAGACCAGATAGGGTGGTGATATGCACATTCATTGTCCATATTACAAAGCATACAAAAAAAAATGTATATATGCTGACAGTTATTTTACTCTTATTTTTACTCATCTCCTATTTCATAGTCTTTTACTATTATTATCATTATTATTTAATTTTTTCTTTTCTTGATTTTCTTTTTGATTTTATTAATCTGTGTGAATCTTTGCTGTCCTGTTTTTTCACGCTTACACGGTTGCTGCTTTGTACAACTGAATTTCCCCACGGGGATTAATAAAGGTCCATCTTATCTTATCTTATCTTTCTGCTGGGTGCCTGCACATGAGGGGGTGAAAGGGAACGAGTGTGCTGATAAATTAGCAAAAAGTGCACGACAAAAGGAAATAACATTACCAGTTCAACTTGGTAAAGGAGAAGGAAAAGCAGTAATTAAGAAAAAAGGGATGGAGATCTGGCAGAAAAGGTGGGAGAAAGACCAGAAAGGCAAAGAGTATCACAAAGTACAAAAGACAATTACAATTAATATTTATAAAGAAAGAAACAGAAGGGAGGAAATCACGATAGCTAGACTCAGAATAAATCACACGGCTTTGAATGGTACGCTGTATATCATGGGGAAAAGTGACAGTGACAAGTGTGGGAACTGTGGAGTAAAAGAAGATGTAGAACATATCTTGTTACATTGTGACATCTATAAAGCTGAAAGAGAAAAACTAAAGGCTAAAGTTTTAGAGGCAGAGAGGGAATGGAGTGTGGTTGGTGTTTTGGGAACAAAAGGAGAGGGAGTAAGAGCTACCAGAAAGGCACTTTTACATTCTTGAGTGAAACTGGGGTAGGAAAAAGAATTTAACATTAGGTCAGGAAAGAACATAGATTTTTATTTTAGTTTTATTTATTTCATGTTTTTGTTGATTTATTTATTTATTTAGATTAGATCATAGGTTAAAGAGTTGGAATGATATGATGATTCATACTCATGTACAGTAGGTGGCGGTATGCACCTTTTAAGTTGTTTGCAATCCGCCAAAAACGAGAGAAGAAGAAGTCTCTTTTCCTAACTGTTCCTTAACCCCGTGACGTTTCACACACAGGTCAAGGAATAGTAGATAGGAATAGACGATAGAAGCAGATTTTTGGACAATTCGACTGCAACCCCAGTCATGCCAACTAGAAAAGGCTGTGTCCTGAAATGTGAGGGGAAATCTTGTATGTTTGCCTTACCGAAGGCAGAACCACGAAGAAGTCAGTGGTTGAAATTTATTTTTAACAATGTTCCTTCAACGGTTCGAAATACTGTACTGTGTGCCCGGCATTTCTCGGACGACAGCTTCACAAACCTTGCACAGGTTGAAGCCAGATATGCAATGCGTCTAGTACTAAAGGGCGATGCTGTTCCTACTTTGTCTGGACCAGCGGGAGATTCGGTGACACAACCTGTAAGTATGCATTGTTATTTGTGTATTTGTGATGTTTAAAACAAACAAAGTATCTACCACGACTGTTTAAACGTGTAAACGTTTTTCGGGCTGCTAAGCCATTGACACAGTGCTAACTGGGCTAACTAAGTTGCTAGCGTTGTGTTAGGGTTAGGAAGGATGGCCAAAAGATGGGACTTTAAGACAATAGTGTGCTGGATATGTATAACGTTGTGTTCATGTTGCTTTTGTGAAACGTAATGTTGTTTGGCATGTGTTAGAAGCTTCAGAGCCAGCAGATGTAAGTTGCCTTCACAAGATACATGGAGGGCAGCTTCAGTAAAGTTACTGGATGTAATAATACTGTTGATGTGGCACGCCCGCGAGAAAGATACGATGTTCATGCTATACTTTATTTCAGAATCAACGCTGGATATATGCATATTTGGATATGACTTGGCACAGTGTGGCTTTTGTTTACGCATCGCTAACACTCAGACCATATGTTCTATGGGAGGGACTTTGAGTTTAGTTTGTATACATTATGGCATTGTTTTTGTTGTAAACACTGAAGAGACAAGTTATGTGCTGTATCAGAAACAATGCGCCACCTGTTTTGGCTGTAGTATGGCGTTTATTTACATTAGCAAGTATCCCTTACACTCAGAGCTAACACTACACTGTACTGGAGAGAATATGCTTAAAGTAGCCGGATACATTGTAGTATTGCTACCTTTACATAGATAATAAGTTGTAGATCATTTGAGTACTTCCACCTCTGCTCAGACATAACACTGTACAGGCGATCCAATACAATAGTTATGATTCAGTGACAACGTTATAACTCTCCTATGTAATAACCAACAACACAGATTTTCAGATAAATATCAGTTTTTGCATCTATCTTGTGAAACATTTTGGGACGTCAGAATATAAGTGATTTTCACATTGCAGTTACTAATCATGAATACAAAATTAAGATGATGTTGTTGTTTCCTTGTAACAGGTCAGCCAATTTCAAAAGTTACCTAGAAGGAGGGATGCTGCTTGTCAGACCGACATTCTACACAAACGTACAGTTCGCACACAGTTGTCTTTGCGTACCTTTAGTAATCCATATCGAAGTTCTGGTTAGTAGCTGTCTTATATGCATGTTTTGGTTAAGTTTGGTGTTGCTGCCTTGAGTTGTTGTGCTTGCAATTACAATGATTGTTTTATTATTATTTATTAATTGTAAAATGCAATTATCTTACAGCTGTCCAGACTATAGATTCCAGCAACTTTGATGTATGGACATCAAATCTTCTCGAGGCAGCACCCTCTTTTATATCCACCCCTACAGAGAGACCATCAAAGAGACGTCGTGTGGACCCTGAGGAAGAAGAAGAAGAAGAGGAGGAGGAGGATGGCAGCTTCTCCGTGGTGGCTTCAGACGGGCTGGATGATACCTATGACCCAGCAGAGTCTGTCACAAATGATACAGAAAAAACAGACATGTTGTGAGTTTAAAAAATATCATCTTATCTTTAGCGATGTCTTTGACAAACACTAAAAAAATGTCTTTCTTTGTTCAGTAATTACAACCATATTTTAAGAATGTAATGTTTAGTACTTTTAAAAGCTTTTTTAAAGATAGTTTGTGGTATTGATCATAGGTATTTGTAGGAATGTGTTGGTGGCATGCACAGGCTGCACTGCTGCATGATTCAGCTTTACACTGGCAGTTAATTCTGCGTGTAGTCCATGGCAATGCTGTCGCAGAGGGTAGGGAAACTAACATAAACACCTCGTTGTGTGATGACATGGGCCCTTTCTCATTTCTCTAAGGGATCAGGATACAGCCGTTCTGTATTTTATTATGTGAAGCACTAAATGGTTTTAGACAAATATCGACTCTTTGTAGATATCTACTAAACTAAAGCATACAAATAAAGAGAGTAATGTAGGCCTGTTATACTGAGTGATATATATTTTACACACTGCTCTGCTTTCTGCACGGACCTCACAGCTGTTCTCACTGTAAACATCGCGTCGCGATGAAAGCAGTTAATAAAATAATATCCCGAGCTGCAGAGCATGCATGCAGAGCTGTCATTGGCTGAGATAAGTCCGGCCGTGCGTCACGTCTCTTTTAAACATCTCTGTTGCCGGAAATACATCCGCGGACTGGCGCGGAGGACCCATCAGTGTATCCTCGATTATAGCTCCTCCAGAGAGCCTCCTCGATCCTCGGTCCTCGAAGTGCATTTAGAGAAATGAGATGTCCTTCAACATGGCGCGCTGAAATCCATTTCCAGGTCACTACCGGAGGACCGAGGATTCGAGGAGGGGAAATTAGTGAAATGAGAAAGGGCCATGCAGTTTTAACAACACCACAAACCAGTGAAGAAGGAAATGTATTACCTTAATGAATATGAAGTATCATTTGAAGTATCATCACATACTTTTAGACTAGATAAAGACACACACACAGCATCGTAGATCCGTCTACATACTCAGCCGCTCTCTCAGGATACTTCGTCAGTAAAAAGAAGGAGAGGCGTTTGTGTTTGTTTGCTTTCACAGAAAACAACAAAAGCATTTGCATAAGGTAAAGAAAAATAGAGGCAATCTTGATATTAGATCACACCACCCACACTACTTCTGGCACCTTTGCTCACACCACACCCATCTTCGAACTCTGCCTTTACTTTGATCATGCAACCTCTTTAAAGTCAACTTTCATTTTGACACAATTTAAACCTAAGGTTTTGTGACTGCATCTTTCACGGTTGGGGCGTTATAACAGTGACTGCTCACAGCCAATCAGATATAGAGACATGTGGTTAATTCCTGAAAACCTCTTCTGTGGTAGTTCCCGCTACAGGAGGTGTCTCATTTGCAATTATGACACACACACACACACACACACACACACACACACACACACACACACACACACACACACACACACACACACACACACACTAGGGCTGCTCGATTATGGCAAAAATCATAATCTCGATTATTTGGGTCAATAATTGATATCACGATTATTAAAAACGATTATCCATTTACTTTGAAAACATCCATTTATTGAAAAGAAAAATGTGAACAGTATGTTTTTAACAGTTGATTACCCTGAACTTTAAGTATAATTCAACTGAAAAAACAATAAAAATAAAAAGTAAAATAAAATAAATAATCGTTTTATTTCGATTATGTTGTTTTCATAATCGTTGCAAGCCAAACTCGTAATTGCAATTAAAATACGAATAATTGAGCAGCCCTAACACACACACACACACACACACACACACACACACACACACACACACACACACACACACACACACACACACACACACACACACACACATGCAAGAGGAAGTAAGGTGCATTGCTGTGTGATGGGGCATAACATCTCTCTTTTTTTTTTTTACAGTGGTAAAGAACACATTCCCTATAACATCAAGACATACATAGTGTATGAGACCTGCATCATGGAGCTTTTCGAAATGTGTCCTGTGTGCCAGCGAGTGTGTGATGTTCAAACCCGAAGGATGGGTACATTTCTATCAGTGGAGCAGCTGTGCCCTCATTGTCAGTTTTCCAGACTGTGGAATAGCCAGCCTATTGTACGGAGTACTCCAGCTGGGAACCTACAGCTTTCCACTTCAGTGTACGTCAATGGAGAGTCTTTCTTCAAACTTGAAAAGGTAAATAAACAACAGGTATACGGTTTTTATAAATTGTTAAATATGTCAAATAATGTTGTTGAATTATGTAAAGACTTGTTTCTATGAAAATCCATGGACTGCTTTTGCAGAAACATTTATTTCCATCAATTTTTTTTTAACCTCCTTTAGGTCTTGAAAGCAATAAACCTACAGCTTTTCGAGTACGACACCTTCCTAAGGCATGCCAAAATGTTCATCGAGCCAGCTATCGTGTCAAACTTTAAGACATCACAGGAAATGATGCTTCGGCAGCTCAGTGAAGAGGACAAGATTATACCTGGTGGTGACTTGAGGGCAGACTCTCCTGGTAATTATATTCTAAACATTGGAAAGGTCAAATGCCCCACACTTCAATCAGAAATAGTATTCATCATACAGAGTAATGTAAAGATTGTACAATTATTTTCACAGGCCACTCTGAAAGGTCAGGCAGCCACACCACGATGGACCTCAAGACCAACAATGTTGTTGACATCCCGTTGTTTAAGGTGAGTGGAAAATTAAATATAAACCTTTTTTTAAGTTTAGTTTCACACGGTTTGCACATGTCATGCATTTCAATAAAATGTCTTTTATTTATGTATATTGCATATGTTTTCTGACAGAGCGATGAGGTTGGTGGAAGCTGTCGGATGGAAAAAGAAGGTCTGGAAAGGGGTCTGGCGTTGTTGCAGGAGCATGGTGTGACTCTGGTTTGCATTATCAATCACCGTTGACCCTTAATACAGAAATTCAATGTGTAAACGAAACATTCCTTTTTTTTAACGTTTGCACAGGTTGCCTTGATGACTTGATGGCCCTCATCTTTGATGAAAACTTTGTGGACCCGGCACCATTCAAAGAGGAGATTTTGAAGGTCACCATCACAGAGGACCTGTGTGCTCAGGACGAACGGCCTGTCAAGGAGGAGGTCATTGAAAGCTTTGTCACCCAAGTCAAGACAGAGGCTTTCTGAATCCTGCATAAAGGTTTTGGGGCAGGCACATACTACACGGGCAGGAATGATGACTCTGATCCTGCGTCTCAGGAAGCCCTATAGCACCAGCTCACAAAACCCTTTAAGGCTGGATACTGGTTACGCCTGCAAGAATTGCTCGGTCAAAAGATCACTAAAACATCTATCTTTGATGTGTTTAAAGCTACATGTATTCTTTTATGGGTTAAGTGAACCTTTTTTTGTAGATGACCGAGACAAGTTGAAAGTGGGACAAAAAAGGTAAAACACTTTGCAGTTTTAACTTCCATTTGGAGTTATGACAATAAAGGCTTTACAGTTTCTATAAAATGTGTCATGATTATTTATGTTTCATAGATTCAGCAGCTGCAGATTAAATGATGCGATGTGAAATATAATCAACATTTAAAAAGACTTTAGTCACACCTGGAGTAAACTCACAAGCTGCCCTGCAGCATGCAAAGTCATTAAAACTACCTGCACCTTTACCAGCTTTGAAAAACACAATAATTATAATCAAAACATATAATATATTATTCTGAAATGGGCCAGTTTGCATATATGAGTACTTTTACTTTTGGTACTTTAAGTATATTTAGATGCTTATACTTTTACTTGAGTAACATTTTTAATGCAGTAGCCTATTTTACACTCTGGATCCTTTACTGTTACTTACTACAACAGGGGTGTCCAAACTACGGCCCGGGGGTAAAATGCGGCCCGACGAGCCATTTATAATTGGCCCTCATCAAATTCAAAAAGTATAATGAAATATGGCCCACAAATGAAACTTGTGCTCGTCATATATTGTACTTCTTAAATGTAATATATATAAACATATATTACTCCGTAGTAGGCTACTCATGTGTTAATAAGCCAATTTTTCTAATAAATTCAGTCAATTAAAGTTTAAAACAATTTCTAACAAATCTAAGTTGATAAGAAAAAAGCCCAATAACTTATTTGTATAACAAACTTGAAATAGACCCTTCATATTTCCTCTTATTAAGCAATCTGAGGCTCCTGTTTTAAGGAATGAGCTGCCAACTAAACAAATGAAACCCTATTGAGAGCTGTGATGGAGGCTGTTTTCTTAAAGCATATTCAAGTAACAAGCATCATTTACCTACATTTGATTGATTTAACTTACTTATAACAATGACTGTAAATTCCACATTGTTGGTAAAATAATATTTTACATCTTTGTAGTGTGTGTGTGCTCGCGCTTTTGTGCGTGCTCTATAATGCGTGTGTGTGTGTGTGTGTGTGTGTGTGTGTGTGTGTGTGTGTGTGTGTGTGTGTGTGTGTGTGTGTGTGTGTGTGTGTGTGTGTGTGTGTGTGTGTGTGTGTGTGTGTGTGTGTGTGTGTGTGTGTGTGTGTGTGTGTGTGTGTGTGTGTGCGTGTGCGTGTGCGTGTGCGTGTGCGTGTGCGTGTGCGTGCGTGCTCGGTGCCCCCCCCCCGTGCGTAATTAGCACATCGGACAGCACCTCAGCACCCCCACTCAAAATACCTTCCCGCGCCTCTGTATAACTTCATTTATGAGGCAAGTATTGAGTGGGAGTATCTGCGCCTTCAAAGTTGGCATACCCCTTGCACGACCTGCCGGCTGCGCGCTTCCTGTGTCAACACCCCTCAGCCCGATGCTGTCACCATCTCGTAGTGATGGGAATTCCGGCTCTTCTTGGTGAGCCGGATCATTTGGCTCGGCTCACCAAGAAGAGCCGGCTCTTTCGGCTCCCAAACGGCTCTTCAGTTTACCACATATTATACCTTTTATAATTCAATCAAATGTAGCCTTGTTTTGACTAATGATTTATATGTGTACACATATCACTTAAATTATTCAATACATCCTTTGTACTGAAGTATTCAAAAGTAAAAATTACATGTTTAATATCAATTATTTGCTGTGGCCAATTGTTTTCATTGCATTTACAGACCCTTGTATCTCTCTGATACCACCCAATGAATGCACTGACTTGTTTGTAGAACCACGCTACACAAAGCAGATAGCAACACCTATAACAAAACCCGAGGTGACAGGGCTTTCAGTGTTGCAGCTCCTAGACTGTGGAACAGCCTCCCAGTACATATCCGGACTGCTGAGTCTATTGAACTTTTTAAATCTCAGCTAAAAACTCACCTCTTTGCACTGGCTTTTAATACTAGTTGAACATTACATTTTTACATTTGTATGTGTTTTTTTTTAAATATTTTTCTAGTTATTGTGCTTTTTATCATGTTTTTAATTATTGTTTTATTATTGTACTCCCATTGTGTTATTTAATATGTATTGCCTGTACAGCACTTTGGTCAACTGAAGGTTGTTTTAAATGTGCTATATAAATAAATAAAGATTGAGATTGAGATAAAAACTTAAGCATAGACATTTTAAAAAAAGGGCTACTGTATCGACATTTTAAAATTATATTTAAAGAAAAGGCCCTGACAAAACAGCAGGGCTCTATTTCAGTAGTAACTATAGAAAAAGAGACAGCAACAGCTGACATCAAATCTTTGCTGAGCCCAAGGATAATCATAAATAAATAACATAGTGAAAATAAATATATTGCAATGCTCAGTACAGCAGCATCCAACAGTCTCTAATCATAAAAAAACATAATAAAAATAAATGTATTGCAATGCTCAAAACAGCAGCATCCGGCAGTCTCTAATCCTTGGATATTACATGTCACTGCATGCATGCACGGAGCAGCTCTAGCGCGGAGATCATCATATCATTCTGTCTTGTATTACTTAACAACAAAATAACAAAAAAAAAACGGCTCGTTCGCGGGCGCGAGCCGGCTCCCGTCGTTCACTTAAAAGAGCCGGCTCTTTCGCGACCGACACATCACTACCATCTCGTGCTCGGACACGGCAGGAGTAGGAGACGGTAACACCACGACTGTGAGAAAATAAGTATGTATGGTGCTGATGTTTGAAAACTTGGTTCGGTTTTCCTTAACGGTGTGGGGGGCCATATACGTGTTTGGTGTGTGTATTTGTGTATTTGAGTGTGTGTTTGTGAAACGGGGATGAGAGGTGTCACGTCGCCTCCCGCTTAACGTGGGAGTCTTTTTTTTAATATCATGGCTGAGGTTAGTGAGGTGGTGGAGAAAGGTGTCGTTGCCTTTATTTAACGAACGTAATAACATTGTCGTTGTTTTGTTTCCGTATTTACGAATACCTAAGTACGGCAGCAGCAACATGGGATCGTGCGTTCGAGTTTTGGGCTTGATGAGTGTAGCTGTCCAGTAAAGTTTGTTCAAAGATCATTATGGATATATTAAATCGTAATACATCTCATAACCTGTGACTTCAACGTTTAACCTTCAGGTTATAGAGATGTCCATTCAGATGTAGCGTGATTCAATGAAGGTATAGGGCTACTAGGCTACATTCCATTCATTCTAGCTAGGCGCGCACATGCCGACTAGACTGGAAACATTAGAGCAGAAGTGCACCATTTTTATACATTCAGATACATCGATATTCATTTACTACAGTAGGCTATCATTAATAACTAACTCTTTCCCTTCTGATAGAAATGCAATTCTTCCCTTATGTTTTTAAATGTCTCAAAGAAGTAATTTCACAAGCCTTTGTGGAAGAAACAAGAGTTACTTCCACAAATGCCACTGTTACAGGGGTGTATCAAGGGAGACTGCAATGTTGTGTTCAAGTGCAAGTGAATCACTGCTGGGGAGTAAGGAGAAAACATAAGTAGCATGGATAATAATAGTTAGGAATGCTGTATGAATCATGTCTCTGATGGGAAACTACTGTATATCTCCAACAGGAAGTGAACTGAACATTAAATTGATGATCAACATTGAACCAGGTTTTAGTTATTATCTCAGCACTGATCTCCAACATGAAAGGTAGGTCTCTGACAATGTACCAACTTTAAACTGTGTCCAACTTCAACCTTTTTTGTCAGTTATTTCGTATTTAATTCTTGACAGAGCTCATCCTTATGCTGTTTTGGGCTGGACTCATGCAGTGCTTTCCAGCCACAGCAAGTCAAGGTATTCTTCTATTGTGCACCTTCTTATATGATAAAAGGAAAGTGTATGTGACATAATTCATACTTTATGATGTTACAGGTGGAATCAGTTTGGCACAGCTGTTTTTCTGCATGGACCCAGGATGTGCCAAAAACGTGATTACCATTTTTTGTGACGAGAAGTCGGTGTCATTTCCCCACATCGCAGATTGTAGGCCTGCAGGACCTCCACCGCCCCAAACTGTCTGCCAGCATGACGGTCGGGCATTCGTTTTCACCAATACAAGCCGTCGATGTGAATTTGAAGAGGAAAGCAGAGATCTTAAGACTGGAAATTGCAACGGTATTACACTTACTCTCTAAAGCCCATAATATAGGCTTATATTATGATTATCTTGAAATCATTTAGTCATGCAAAAGTCAATGCTGCCGACTTTTATTAACATGTATTCTTATTTAAATTTGACCAATCAATAAGTGGGATTATATGCTGCTGTACTCTCAGTTGATATATATGTCAGGACTCATCACTTCAGCTGAGGAGGCAGTTGTTTGACAGCCCTTGATTCCCCCACTTACATTTTAGCTTTTGAATCTTTCTCCTCTCTTCTTTTTACTGACCTTTGATCATTGCACTCTTTACAAAAATCTGCACAAAATGGCCAAACAAGATTCTTTATTTATATGTATTCTCATTAAAATGTTTCCGTTCGAATCAAATTGTACAATTATGGAATGACCATGTTTGCACACAATACATTTTCTGAAGTCCTGATCTAAGAACACTTGGTAATACTTTTCTGTTTTCTCAACTAGACCACAGCGACATTTGCACTTTTTTCAATGGTAAGTTATTTCCTTCAGATTGTCTTTATACCATGTTACTCACATTATTGATTGACCATTGACTGGAGTTTTTCCTTTTTCCTCTACTAGGAAAGAGTGATGGTGTAGCTACTACACCCTCACCAGTCCCCACAGAGGTTCCGCGAAACGATCCTGCAAAACGTGGACACATTGGAGTTGGTAAATTCTGAACACTAGTTCATCTGAATAATGTATTTGTTAACAACTTGTTATGTCTGCTTCTGCACAAGAAACTTCTAACAGCAGCTAGTCGTTAAAATATTGTTCACTTTTCACATTTCCCATGTACGCCATGATTTGTAATTAAGAACAAATAATGCAACTAATCTTACTTGCTTCCGCTCTCCTTTTTTCTGTCTTTGTTCTTTTGCTCACGGCTTAAATGTTTCTCTTTGAAAAGCTGAGAATCAGGTGAGATCAAAGTGTTAAGATGTGTTGCATTCATTGT